TTCTCATAACTATTACATTAAAATTACGTTAAATATTGTATTATATTTTTTTCTTTATAAAATATTTTTGAATTGGATGTTTATAAAAATTACATTGAAAAATGAGAATTATCCATTAAAAATTCTTTAAAATTATTATTTTAAAAAATATATATACATAAAAAGATGAAAAGGTTCATAACGAGGAACTCGATCCTCACGTGGAGAATTCTCGCCCTGTTTCAAGCAAAAATAAATAGAGAATTTCACGGAGATAAAGATTGAAACATGTAGCAGGGATATCTAGATGAGAGATCAAAGCTTCTTATTATAAATAAAGTTATGTTCGAACGAAAGAGTCAAACATTTGACTTATTGGTCAAACATATATGCATCTATATTTTAATTAATTTAAAATTATAATATTCTAATAATTAAAATATATGATAGGGTATAGTACTCATACCCCCCAATGCCATGTCATCACCATGATCTCCTCGCCGGTGGGGCCGGCCGAAGACGTAATCTGACGTGGCATATCCCATTGGGGTCCATTCGGCGAGTATTTCAAAAGGCCGTCCCCGTCAGCCGAATGGTGGGGCCGGGAAATCCTCGTTGTCTTCTCCTGATTGGTTAACGTATTCGGTGGCTGAGACTTATTTGGCGTCTGAATGCAGAGGAATTGAAGAAAACTCTGTACGCGAATCAGAGTTTTTTTTTTTTTAATTAGTATAATATGAATTTCATATTCGATCAAATGAAATCGTAGCGAAACAATATTCAAAAGCCGACGAGTCGGATTTTGCTCTGAAAATCGCTCTCTGTTTTCATTCACAGGAATTGAACGACATGTCGAAGCCTCTGTTTCTCTCCGTCTTCTTCCTCGCTCATCTCTTCCATCTCTCCCATGGAGATATTGGCACTGCAACGCATTACAGTCCGCCATATTTACGTAAGTTCCATTTCATTTGCATTCTTCATGTTCTTGATTCGCGGTGGTAATTGAATGAATAAATGAAATTTACACAGCCACCGCCTGTGCCGGAAACGATATCTCTCTGTTTCCGGCGAGTAATCTGTTCGCGGCGGCCGGAGAGGGAATATGGGAGAACGGAGCGGCTTGTGGAAGACAATACCTAGTGAGATGCTTCAGCGCCGCCGTACCGATGTCGTGCGTTCCGGATCAGACGATTCAGGTCACGATAGTCGATCGTGCGATTTCAACGGTGTCGAAGCCAGCGAAAGCGGCTACGACGATGGTACTGTCAACGACGGCGTATAAATCCATCGTTCAAAGAAATGTGGCCTTCGTGAATGTCGAATTTCGGGAGTGAGTTCTACTGATTTGAACATTTTTCGAATTTGAAATTGGATTAAACGATTAGGTTCGATTGATCGGAGCGGAGATTCTGTGAATTTGCAGGGCCTGAAAATCGGAGAAGGGAGGGAGCCATGGCGTCCGTAATTAGGGTTTCTGACTGGTCCAAATTCTAGAACTGTGAGGAAGATGAAGTCCATGTGGTTGGTTTCCGCCATTGACACACACCTAGTTTATATTTTCTAATATTATTATTTCTTGTATTTTAAAAAGGAAAAAGAAATAATAATAATAAAAAAAAAGCAATGAATTTATTTTCTTTCTTTATTATTATTATTATTATTTTTGGAGAATGAATTTATTTTCTTATTCATCAAACATTTAATTAATTGTTTTTATTGTTATTTAAAATAACAATAATAAATAAATAAATTAATTAATAATTTACTAATTTAGTTCGTCTCTAAATTTAATAAAAAAAAATTAAGTTCAAAATTATTTATTGAGTAATAATAAAAGTTATATAAATAAATAACTTTTCAAGAAATATATAATTAATGTGAAATGTGAGGGCACATGCATAGATTCACATGGGCAGCTAAAAGCGAATTTGGTGAGGAAAGCGGTGAAGAGATCAGATCATAAAACAAGACGAAGTCAAATCCCATTTAACATTTTTTTTTTATTCATATAATAATTCTTTATAAATTTTTGTTTCTTCGGGCGAGTTACAACCTACAATTCAAACTGAGGACGGATTTTTGGAGTTAGCTCATTCTCACGGGATCACGACCCTTTGTCCCGACCATTGTAGCATGATGACTTGACGTCATCCTCACCTTCCTCCAGCTTATTACCGGCATTACGTGGAATTTCTAATATATAGGGTAATTTCTAATTAATAATATTATATTTTATCAATTTTTTTTTTTTGTTGGATAATGTAATAAAAATGTAAACTGTCCCCTAAGGATTGTATAATCAAATGTGACATAATTTAATGTATTTTTAGTATATTATAAAAAATAAAATACACAAAGAAAACACGACATTTTAGAAATATATCATTAACAAATCGTTTGCCTATGTATATTATAAAAAAAAGTAAATATTTTATTTTGATACTTAAAAACTATATTTAATTTAAGAATTTGATGTATTTATAAAAAATTATTTACTGTCCTTCTATCTTTTCTTTTTGAAGATATGTGAAAATTATTATTATTCATTTAACCAAATTTAATTAAAAAAATTAACTTCAAACCGATATTATAAACTAATTTTAATATTTTAACCAAAATATATACACGTACATGTTATTTTGTTTAATTTCCTCTAAAGGGTAGATGTTCGATCCAACAATGTACAAGGGGGCATTACTAATGTGTCGACCAATTGAATGGTATTTTGGCCTCCTAGCTAAACCGTCGCGAGAGCCTATCGTTCCTATATCAATCAATAGACACAATTCTGATAAACATATCCATAAGCAGTTGCAAGTTGAGAATCAATACTTTAAGTTTGTAGTTAGCCGTTGGACATAAAGAATTGGACCAATTTTCAAAATTGAGCTTTGAAAATAATGTGAATGCATGTCATGGCAGGCAGGTATGGTCAAGCTATTATGTTAATGGCTGCGGGGAGGGCCAAGGCTTGGGCTTTGCGTTCAGACCTGTGAGGATGACATAATGTCATTGTTCTAGTTTCTAACTAAATTAGTGTCTTTCCTCCTCGCATCCAACCCCTATCTAAATCCATGGACAAAAGCTTTGAAATCCCACATTTTAAAATCGTGAGGCTAACGATGATACGTAACGGGCCAAAGAGGACAATATCTACTAGCAGTAGACTTGTACGGTTACAAATGGTATCAAAACTAGACACTGGGCAATGTGTCAGCGAGGACGTTGACCCCCTAAGGAGTGGATTGTGAGATCCCACATCGATTAGAGAGGGGAACGAAATATTTCTTATAAGGGTATGAAAACTTCTCCTTAGAAGACGCATTTTAAAACCATGAGGCTGATGACGATACGTAACGAGCCAAAGGGGAAAATATCTACTAGCAATGAGTTTAGACTATTACAAAAGTTGTTTCTCTCTTTATCTGAATAGGGTTGCGGATTGCAGAGAGTTAGTTGAATAGCACGTATGAACAAGCAAACCTTCTAGATTCAAGTGAAAAAGACCTACACCTAACAAAGTGCGACTATATAATCAAACTCGAGAGATCACTATCATGAAGTGGAATAGTTCAACGTGTAGGGTTCACGGATTCAAGTCTCTGATTTCCTATCAAACATATATCTTGACTAGTTGAATAACACTCAAGCTATCGTCCAAAAGATAGTGCTTTGAACATGATTCAAGCAACAAGTTTTTCGTGCGACTTAGATGTCACGTAGTAGTACTCATGTGAGTAGATTTAATCATGAACAATGTCGAGCATAACAGCTCAACATCTAGAAAGTGATAGAATTCTTCCTCTCAGCACCGAAAAGAAAATGGGAAGGAAGAAGATGCGTTGAGAACAAGAAGACTTTAGCATCTAATCGTTTGAATGAAACCATTTTTGGATCCCAAAAAGCCAAAAAGGGTCTTCAGAATTAAGCGTGATTGATGAACTAATTCTCAGTCCTTTCCTACTGGCTCCATGCTGTTAACACACTCTCTAAGACCAATCTCAACTTGTTCCCACCCAATCTGTATAGTAAAGACGGCTACTACGGCAGACTATTCCACCCTTTCATTAACCAAAAGTCCAATTCTTCACAAAATAAAGAAAAATCAAGCATGTTCTAATGACAAAAGTTGATCATAGAAGCATATAAAGAAGACGTTTTATGATTCCAAGGTCGAGGGCCTGCATGATCGAGAGGCATTTGAAACAGCTTTGGTGTCTCTAGAGTTTGAACTATAGAAGGAAAACCTTTAAACCTGTCTCTAAGTAGCTTATTGATGAGTCTCTAGAGAAGGAGAACCTTTAAACCCAGCTTTTATGATCCCAAAGCATTCTCCATGACCGTCAAATAATAATCCATTAAGCTATCTACTAAGAATATCAGCCGGTCCACAACAGAACAACCCCTTCATTCCCTTTCTAATAGTTATGAATGCACAATTAATTGAATATGAAATGATGACATTGATTCTATTTGGTTCCCAATATGAAGTATAGGATTTTAAATCCTAGATAGGTGGCCTACCATGGCTTGAACAAATTCTCTCTAACCCCTTCTCTATTATTTGTTAGGATTGCTCAACAACGCACACACTCGATCAAGATAGAACACAAAGAACATAATCTACCAAATATATCTCTATTAAATCTTTATCAAATATCTACTATATATATCTCTATCAGATCTTTACAAAATATCTACCAAATATATCTCTACAAGATCTGACTGTAAATAGGCATCAGGCTTCATATCCCAACATTATTTACATGACCACGTTGACCAATAGGTTAACTCATGGTGGTTGACATTCATTCTAATGGACAGTCTTATCAAGAATCAATAAGTGAATAACTTCAAATCCTTATTTGATCCCTTACATGATTCTCATTGTTAGGGTAAGAATAATCGAGTAGTTAAGTTTACTCTAATGGAGATAATTTAATACCTTTCTCCTCCAGAAGTGAAAATAGTATCCTAATGGAACACTGCCAACATTTCATGTTATCTGCAAAAAGTAACCATCATTGATAAGGCAATAAATAGATTTAAGTTGTTCTGAAGATCCTCAAGAAGCACACAAAAATTGACTCAATTACCAGATGGGACAAAATTTGCATGTCAAAAAGCCCTCTAGCACCCACGATATTGAATATCAAACATCTATCGCTTCCCGAATTGACTAACTCAATTCACAGGGAGTAAAAGTAAGGTTCAAAACAATTTTGTAGGACACAACTCAGGAATAAACTCAAGTTGAAAGTGTTACTTCTTGGTATGAGTTTGAATATACTTGGTAAGAACATAGCAATCTGGAGGCGTAATGTTTGCGTAATAGTTCTGAATGGTTTCTGTAATCTCAAACCCAAATTTCTTATAGAAATTGATGGCGTCATCATTATTCGTCTGAACATGCAAATAGATTTCGGTAATGTTTTGCTTTGAGCAGAGATCGAGAACATGATTTAACAGTCTGCTACCTGCAAAAAACCCAGAACATAAAAACAAGCAACTAAAATCAAATGTTTTTTCAGAAAGAAATGTCTATGGGGGCCTTCCAACCCACCATAATGTCCGATAAATGATACTTAATTTCTGCACCTTGTGCACATGTTATTTTGTTGTTCAATTTTTCTAATCACCATTGGTAACAAATTCCAGATAATCTAGGGGACAATTACCTAACATTACTAACAAATATTAGATCTTTTAAAAGGAGGTAAAATGCTTGGAGAAGATCGTAAAGAACTTCTTCCAGAAAAGGAAAAACAACCAAGATCAGGGCATCCATCTAGTAACTTGGAAATGGCTGCTATTCTTCTCTCTTTTGGTGGTCTAGTTATTGGACTTGAAAGAACGGAACAAAGCTCTCCTAGTTAAATGGATAAGGAGATTTACTAATGAGGAAAATGCTCTAGGACATTAGCACAAATATGGACTTTAACAGAAAGATTTGTGATGGAAGCACTGCAATTGAGGATACAGCCAAGGGCCTGATATTACCAAAAAAAGCAACAACCGCTTCATATCTGGGAAGATGTGGGGTTGATTCCACCACAACCTCATCCCTGGACATTTTTGCTTTCTTGACAATAAACTAGCAGTAATTACAGTTATTAGAGTGACAAAAGTTTGCATCTAAGAAGAAATCTATTTTACAAAGAAATTTGGAAGTTCAGTTTATATTAGGGAGAAAGTGAACTCAGTGAGCCTCAGTTCTTCCAAAGATGGGATGGTTTGGCCCCAAGATAAAACTGAGAACTCTACAGTTATTTTCTCAACTTAACAAAAGTTGAAGATGCTTTGCGTCAATCAGATCTGTTAAGGAAAAATCCCAAAGAATGAAATATTCCTCATAGAAATGAGGAAAAGCTCCAAAAGAAAAATCCCAGCCGACCCATCTCCCCAAACACTTGCAGTCTGTGACTAAGAGAAGAAAATCTCTTCATCATCTATTTTTGCATTGTTGCAGTCTGTGACTAAGAGAAGAAAATCTCTTCATCATCTATTTTTGCATTGTTGCAGTCTGTGACTAAGAGAAGAAAATCTCTTCATCATCTATTTTTGCATTGCCTTTCTACTGCTGGAGGATGCTCTTTTCGGGTTAAAATTTTTAATACCTTCTCTGTTTTTCCGGATAGGCTTGAATTTTGGCTTCCTAAAGCTGTTTCATGTTGGTGGCTGGAAGACAAAACTAATGTGTATTGGAACTGTGCAGTTAGAGATTTCTTATTGAGTCTTTAGCTAGGAAGAAACCAAAGGTTAGTCCAAGACAGAGAGAATCCTTGGGAACGTTTTGGTGAACTTGCACAATATATAGCGACAAGTTGGAGGTGCCCTTCACAGAAGGTCTTTTTTTATCACAGTATTTTCTTTATATATACATATATATATATATTAATTTGGATGGGAGATGCATATCAACAAATTATAAGCCTTATCCATAAGGTTTGTTACCTCCTTTTTTATTTTAATAGATCCTGTCTCTAGTTCAAAATCGATATTAAAAAAAAAAATCTAATAAGAGATTTGAAGTTGGTACTTACCAATGCCTAGTTCACGATATGGTGCAAGAACGCCCAAGGTCATGATGTAGACACGTACAGATCCATTTTCTTTCTTCTCAAGGCGGCATGCAATGGAGCCAACACATATATCACTGTAGTATGCTGCGAAAACAATAAAATTATGTAGTTTTAGCCTTTTCTTAATAAAACTTATTGGTACAATTCAAAAGGGAGTACTACAGTTTTATTTAATGCACAATAATCATTGTAATAAGGTATATGAAATGGTAATTATTAACCATTAGACTGATTCAGATTTTAAATATGACAAGGAATTAACAGGATAATCTTATTTCTGAAGTTATACATCTAACATTTAAAAATAAACTGGACTAGGCATGCTGCAGCCTGCAGGTCCATTAATCAACAAATTACTGAGTTACTGAATCCAGTGAGAAGGGTTTTAAAGGAAACTAAATTGTTCTTTTTCCTATGTTATTTTTTGCTTAAACACGCAAGTTTGCAATGAGAGACCTGTGCAATGAGTTCAAATTGAAAATACACAGAGCAAATGATGAGATGTTGGAGAAGCAGCGTCAAAATGATAGATGAAGAAAGTGAATTATCATTGAATGGTAAGTGAAAGCCGAAAAAGAAAAAGAAAAGGAAAAGGAAAAATCGAACTTTAAGACATATCACCTGAGAAGTAGCAGGGTCATGAAACACCCACACACATTTCTAATGTTTCCTAATTAAATGAAAAGGAAATTGGTGAATTGGCAAGGACCATGTTAACTTATTAGTAACACTATAAACAACGAGCGACGTGCAAAATATTTTATTAGTTCTGAAGAACATGAAAAGCATACCTACAAAATATTGGGAAATTGGTTTAGGGATAATAAAGATTAGGCAGCTAGGAATATATGCCATACACGCTATTGAAAAAAGGATCTCGCATTACAAAGTGTTCAGATAGATTGACTCGTACACATATATTACTAAGTATATACGTCAGCAATAAAAACATTATTCATCGACCAGCATATATGAACCCGGTGATCAGGTAGGCCTGCTGAAATCAAATATAAATAAAGGTACGGGCTCATGCTTGACATCATACAGTGGATGAAGATAATGATAAAGAGTGGGTATTGTTTCAGACAGCACCCATATCAAGCTGTGCTAGTCTAATAGTCGACTGTTATAGAGAGAGCACACAAGGATCATTCCTACTATCCTTGAAGAAAGATCAAAACATTCATTCCGTTAAGATTCCATTTAGGAATTTGCTGGAAACAGGAGAATCATACTGGAAAATGGATTTCCAATTGGACCAAACGAATTTCTTAGACCATCACCAGCTTAACTTACTGACCAATCACTCGATGGTTCCACATGATCAAACTAGACAAACCCCACAGAAACAAGGTTAGAAACCTTTATGCACAATAAAAGCAACAAGAATTGACCACCTCACAGTAACAATGAAAATCAAAGCCCACCCTTCGGAAAGCTTCCATGGTCTGATAAAATTACCAACAGTAAACATTGGGTATCTAATTTTTCATACAAAGTATAATATAGGCTTAGATTAATGATTCCTCTCAGGAGCTGGGGAACTCAAATGGCAACTTTTCAAATGGAGTAACTGATAGATAGCAGACCAGATTGAAGAATTGTCGAGCATTGGTGCTAATCCTTCATTTATTTACTTCCAAATTCAAAAAAATCCTTTATTCCTTTAAAGCCACACACCTGCATGTAAAAGATATTCGAATAGACAACCACGAAAACGTAAAATATCAAGACCTCTCGTTTGAAAGGTAAGCCCACCTAATCTTTTTTTTTTTTTGGTTTCCAATAGTTGTTCTCTCATACTAATATATATATATATATTCTAATGAACACTAACCTGGGTTTTGAAGTTTGCAAGCTAGCAATGCTGATGAATAGAAACTCAAAATCGTACACTGCATATAACGTCTCAAAGAGCATCCAAAGGGAAAGAAAAGGCCAAATCAACAGTTCAAACAGTTTAAGATTCCAAAAATCACCAAATAGTCGAACTAAAACCACATAACTCATAGCAAAAACCCCCACGAACATTCTTCACTCTTCCTAAATAACAAGCAGCTAAATCCAAAACGCTCATCGGCAGAATCACAAGCAGCAAAGCACACAAGACAGAATAATAACGAACATGACAAAAACGCTTGAAGATAGAAACAGAGAAGCCATAACGAGCAAACCAAAAGAACAGAGAAGATAAAGAAGATAAAGAAGATAAAGCATGATGAAGTCGATAGAAGAAGTATCAAACCTAGCTTTGTGAACTCGCCGGAGGCAAGGACATCGGCGTAGTACTTTTCGTTATAGCGAACAGGGAAGAGAGCTGTATTGAGCTTCTTGAGCTGCATCAAGTTCTTGTCCCTCACTCCATCGAGCGAAATTGATACTTCGCGCACCTCCCCCATAGCTTTTCAATGAAGAAAAAATAAAGAAGGTTCAGAGGGAGACAGCTACAGAAACTTTCTTTGGCGGAGACGAAATGGAACCGCTCGTATCAATTGGACACGATGAGAACAAATCTTCATTTCTCCGAGACCGTCAATTGGGCCTTGATCCATTCGTTTTTCGGCCCATTTACCCGACCCGGGAAATTATCAGGAATATGTTGAAAAAATACGCCAATTTTCCTTCCATATACTATAAAAAAACAATTATATTTTTTTTAGATTAAATTTAAAAAATAACAAAAAATATATATATAATTTTTAAAAAATTTGTTAATATTATTAAACTTTTAATAAATTCTAAAATATTTTATCATTAGTTTGGGATGAAAACGTCCCGATTCAAATTTTTTAATTATATTTTAAAAATACTCTTAAATTTTTAGAATGTTTTATTAATATTTTTTTAAAAAAATTAATATCCATTAAATTTTTAAAATAATATTAATACTCTTTTAATATTTGTAAAAAAAATTTAAAAAGTTATTAGAAAAAAACTGTTTATCTATATTTCATAGATTATATTTAATTTTTTTTAGGTTTATGAAATTTCATAAATATTTTTTAAAACGTAGTACCTTATATATATATATATATATATTTTTTATTATTATTATTATTATTATTTTAATTAAAAAAAGTTTAATATGATCGTGAAAATTTTTAAAAAAAATTTAAGATAATTTTTAATAAGAAAAAGTAAGAGTTTATAAGGTTTGGATTATTAACGTAATAAAAATTTAAATTGACTTCTTCGCGATGAAGATACTTTCTTCTCAGAATTCATCTCTAGCGCCCAAATCAACGAACAAAGCCATGCTCCAGAAGAAGCAGAAGCCCAAAGCCTTGATCGTCGGAGGGAGCATTGCCGGAATTTCTTGCGCCCATACTCTGATCAAAGCAGGCTGGGAAGTTCAAGTCCTCGATAAAACCACCACTCCGCCGACCGGTTGTTCCACCGGCGCCGGACTCGGCCTTGACACTCTGTCTCAGAGACTCATCCAGTCGTGGCTTTCCCGGCCTGAACTTCTCGTCGAATCCACTTCCCCTCTAGGGACGGAGCAGGTCAAAATCTCTCCCTATCATTTCCTTGTAATTTTATTACGCCGATGTCTGATATTGATCGTTACCTGAGGAAGACCATTCTGTCTTCTCCGTTTGTGAAATTTGAACAGAGTGATTTCAATGTTAGGGCAAGGTTTATGCTACCAGTAAATAATTGTGTGCTCTGATGTGTATTTGATCGAATCTGGATGGCGGAATTTATCTTCAATCTGTTTCAATTCGAGTATTGAACGAGAAACTGTTCTAGTTTTGTCGTCGATTTCGATGCATTTGAGTTGAATTTCAAATAAAACAATCTGTTAATTCTTTCATCCACCATCTGTTTTAATAGAATCGGGCTATTGGTGGAGAAAGCAAGACGGGACGGATATTGACTAATGATGAGAATCTCAATTTCAGAGCTGTACATTGGGCTGAGCTTCATGGCCTTCTATACAATGAGCTTCCACCTGACATATTTCTTTGGGGTCATCTTTTTCTTTCTATCTGTACATCTGACGACAAAGCGTCTGTGAAAATAGTAGCAAAAGTTCTGCAAACTGATGAGATTGTTGAAATAGTTGGGGATTTGCTTGTTGCAGCTGATGGCTGTCTCTCTTCCATACGTCAAGCATTTCTTCCCAGCTTTAAGTTGAGGTCTGTAAAATAAATGGGCTTTCTAAGTACCAAAAAAGTATTCGTAATGACTTTTCGAGTGCTTAGAACCGCTTTTAAGCATCCAAAAACTCATTTGAAACAAGCCCGAAAATGGAGGAGAAGTTCAAATTCTTTGCTCCCCCATTGTTTTCGTACTTTTCAAATGCTTAGAACCGTTTTTAAGTATCCAAAAACTCATTTCAAACAAGCTTGCAAATGGAGGAGAAGCTTAAACTCTTTGCTTACCCATTGTTTTCGTACTTTTCAAGTGCTTAGAACCGTTTTTAAGCATCCAAAAGCTCTTTTCATACCAGCCCAAAAATGGAGGAGAAGTTCAAATTCTTTGCTTCCCCATTGTTTTCGTACTTTTCAGGTGCTTAGAACCGTTTTTATGCATCCAAAAACTCATGTCAAACAAGCCCGAAAATGGAGGAGAAGTTCAAATTTTTTGCTTCCCCATTGTTTTCATACATTCGTAGTCGTAGTGTTGTTTAGTCTCGAAGTCTAAAGCATGCTGCATTTTCTTATTCATAACTTGAATTTGATTGTAGATATTCAGGTTATTATGCTTGGAGAGGGGTTTTTGATTTCTCAGAGAATGAGAACTCAGAGTCTGAGATCAACATTCATAAGGCTTATCCTCAACTTGGTAAAGGCTTGTATTTCGACTTGGCATCTGGAACTCATATGGGAATGTTTGAGGTTCCAAAGAAGAAGATCAACTGGATTTGGTATGTGAATCAACCAGAACCTCAAATCAAGGTGATTGCTTACTTTCATTGAATGCTTACATTCCCTTTTGGAATTAAATACAATTGTGCCGTTCGGTTTCTGGTTTCTAGTTCTATTACATCAGCTCTTTAGCATATTCATTGGTTAATTGGAGTTTGGAACCAACTAGCGTACAAATGCAGGGTCGATCAATGACGATGAAAGTAAACGAGGAGATGGTGAGGAGATTGCACGAACAAGCCAACGAGATTTGGGTTCCTGAGTTTGCAAACGTCGTTCGAGAAACAAAAGATCCTTTCATCAATGCCATCTATGATTGTGATCCATTAGAACAACTAGTTTGGGACAATGTGGTATTGGTTGGAGAAGCAGCTCATCCAATAACTCCTCATTGTGGGAGAAGCACGAATATGTCTATATTAGATGCAGCTGTTTTGGGCAAATGCCTTCAGAAATGGGGAGCTGAAGATCTAAATTCAGCTCTTGCTGAGTATCAGTCTCTCCGGCTGCCTATTATTTCTGAGCAAGTCCTCCATTCCCGGCACGTCGGGCGGATCAAGCAAGGCTTGCCGCTTCTCAACCGCCAAGCCTTCGACCCGAATGTAGCTGAAGAAAACTTGCAAGAGCTTCAAATAAGAAATACACCATTCTGTGATGATGTTCCTGAAGGGATTGATCTGAGCTAGGAATATTATGTCCATTCCCGGCACGTCGGATGGATCAAGCAAGGCTTGGCGCTTCCCAACCGCCAAGCCTTCGACCCGAATATAGCTGAAGAAAACCTGCAAGAGCTTCAAATAAGAAATTCACCATTCTGTGATGATGTTCCTGAAGGGATTGATCTGAGCTAGGAATATTATGTCCTGTGGTTTGGTGAAAGGCTGGAAATATCTTTTGTTTGCACAAGCCGCACGTGCCAGGCACACTTCCTTGATTTCTGAAGCGCATATTTCCCCAAACAGGGAAAAGTCTCTGATCCTCCCTGTTCTGTTTGGCAGTTGCAACGATGAACGGGAAGAACAGAATCCCCAAAGCAGTCATCGTCGGCGGCAGCATTGCCGGAATATCCTGCGCTCATGCTCTGATTAAGGCCGGCTGGAAAGTTCAGATACTCGAAAAATCAACCTCTCCCCCAACCGGAAGTTCCACCGGCGCCGGCCTCGGTCTCGATTCTCTCTCTCAGAGCCTCATTCAGTCATGGCTTTCCAAGCCTCAACTCCTCCTCCAATCCACTCTCCCTCTCACAGTCGATCAGGTAAATTTCGAATCGAATCAGATACGTCTAAGAGGTTTCGAATTTATCTAGGGTTTGTTGAATTGTGAACAATGTTACCTGTGTGTATTTGTATGTAGAATCAAGCAACTGATGAGGAAACCAAAGGCAGGAGGATTTTAACTAGGGATGAGAATTTCAATTTCAGAGCAGCTCATTGGGCTGATCTCCATGGCCTTCTCTACAATGAGCTTCCTCCTGATATATTTCTATGGGGTCACCAATTCCTCTCTTTTTGCACATCTGAGGATAAATCTTCTGTGAAAATAGCAGCAAGAGTTTTGCAAACTGACGAGATTATTGAAATAGTTGGGGATTTGCTTGTTGGAGCAGATGGGTGTCTTTCTTCTGTTCTTCAAACCTTTCTTCCCAACTTTCAGTTGAGGTATATGAACATGAAAATGGAGCAGAATTCTGAAGTATATGTTCATGCTGACAAATAGCAATTTCATTGTTTTGTGTAGATATTCTGGTTATTGTGCTTGGAGAGGAGTCCTTGATTTCTCTGAGAATGAGAATTCAGAGACGATAATCGACATCCGAAAGGCGTTTCCTGATTTTGGGAAATGCTTGTATTTTGACTTGGGATCTGGCACTCACATTGTGATCTACGAGCTTCCAAACAAAAAGATCAACTGGATTTGGTATATCAATCAACCAGAGCCACAACTCAAGGTAATTGATTGTCCAAATGTGATCCGAGTAAACCTCAATACAATAGTTCGTTCTATAGTTTGTATTGGTTGACACGAATGAGCAAAATGAATGCAGGGTAAGTCGCTGACCATGAAAGTAGACGACGGGATGGTGAGGAAGATGCATGAACAAGCAGAGAAGGTTTGGGTTCCCGAGTTCGCAAGAGTCATCAAAGAAACAAAAGAGCCTTTCATCAATGTCATATATGATAGAAATCCATTGGAACGACTAGTTTGGGACAATGTAGTATTGGTTGGGGATGCAGCTCATCCCACAACTCCTCATGGCTTGAGAAGTACAAACATGTCCATATTAGATGCAGCTGTTTTAGGCAAATGCCTTGAGAAATGGGGACTGGAGAACTTACAAACAGCCCTTGCAGAATATCAATCCGTTCGACTGCCTGTAAGCTCGAAGCAAGTCCTGCATTCTAGGTTTATGGGTAGGCTTAAGCAAGGTTTGACTCTTCCTGACCGTGAACCCTTCGACCCGAAGGTAGCTATGCCAGAGAATTGCCAAGAACTTCAACAGAAAAACATTCCTTTCTTCAATGATGTTCCTCAATTGATTGATACGACCATGAAGCCTATATAGTCAAGAATGTGCAGAAAACCGAAGTATGCATTCAAGACAGGTTTTTCAGTTGGAAGCTAGTCTCTCTGGCTGCAGTTAATTGTACTTGATTCATTGTATGATTAAAAAGTATGCTGAATCGTATGAAATAAATCAGCTTCAAGTCAAGCCTTCGCATCATTAATCATGAATGAGTTATGTGGAACCTTTATACCTAACCAAATGAGAATTCTATATCAAGTTTTCAACTACACAGCAGCTACCCAGATTTCGCATCAATTTGATTGTAAGATATAAGTACCCGCTTCGATTAGAAATACTCGTGTTTCAGATTCAAGCCTAAATTTCCTCGTTACCGATCATTGCAAACTCGTACATTTTCATCGTGAATCTTTTTGTGTTTCATTGCATACATGATGATGCATACATGATGATGCATACATGATGATGCATACCGTAGCTAAAAAGCTTTAAAAGACGATCTTCAATCGAGAGAGTACAATACAGCAAAGAACACAGTAGATATAAAGATGCCAGTGTTTAATAAACGATTCAAGAACTGAACACACAGATTTTGCAAGAAAATGTCATACAAGCTAGAAAAGAAGCAATCCTACGACGTAACTTATTGAACGATTCAAGTGTTTTCAAGGAATCAGAAGAAGAAATATTTAATACCAACATCAGAATGATGGAATGGTTCTCCAAGGGAATAGGATTGAAACCCAAACAATAAAAAAATGCATACAAACTCCCCACTCTAGCTTTTACAAGAACAATCATTATCTATGAAGGGGCAAACAACTAGGCTCAAGGGAAGAAAAACAAGTTACCCTCTTCATCGTAATCGAACTTTGAGCTCGTGTTCAAAATCGAAGAGGTAGATCAACCTGTCTTTGCAGGCCAAGAGGCTTGAGCTGACATAATTATCCCAACAATCACTCCGAACAACCCGAGCGCACTGCCAAAGATCTCAATTACAAGAATTTTCACAAAAAGAGAGGAGTTTTGGGCATCTGATAACGCACAGCTGCTTCCAATGATTCCCACACACAGCCTTCAAACAAAGCATCAGAAAAGATTCAGAGCAAACAATCAGAATGAAACGTAAAAGAAGAGCTAAATTCGAGGATTTTGATTGAATAAACCAAGTAAGAGAGAAGATATCAAACCCGCAGACAAGGTTAGCAAAGCCAACTATGATTCCAGATGCAAAAATTGCATATCCTGCTCTTAGAGACTCGGGGGCATAAATCTGAGACGCTGAAACACTCTCTAACTTGGTTTGTAAGATGATGGCAACAATGACACCGTATATAGCAACAGCTTCACAGAAAATTACACTGAAATAACACAGCATTCAAATCGTTGTAATCAAAATAATGGCCAGAAAAATGTAGCTATGTTCTTGAAATTGGTTGGACTTTGTTGGACGAATTACAATTTTTTTTCAAAAATTCAAGGCTTGTGTTCAACTCTGTTCCAATTGATTCAAAATTAAACAAAGTAATGAAATGAAACCTTTGAGTTTCGTCGCTCTTAGTTGTATAAGTGCAAGAATTTAGCAATAAGAATCCCTAATTATACATCCCAACCCGACCGTCTCAAAAGAAGTAATCCAATCAATAGGAAAATGAACAATTCATCAACTAGAGTTAACGCTTCACCTGATCAAATTCTTCGAAGTAATACGAGGAGCTTTAATCGCGGCACCAATCAAACTGCTTCCCGTAATGTAAATCCCCCTAAAAATACGCAACCGCGCAAATTTTCATCGTTCAGAAAGGGATTAACAAAATAAACATTCATCAAGAAAAACGCAAAGAGAACGAAATAATATAGGGTTAGGACAGCACCAGGCGGCGCCGAGGACGGAAACGCCGATGGCGATGGCGATACCGACGGCGGAGAAAGTGTAGGGAGAGATATTGATGAGAGCGCGAGACCAGGAGCTAGAATGTGCGATCACGGCGGCGGTCGACATGATTATCTATCCGCTTCCGACCTTGATTCTGAAATCGACGCAGTAATTACGAAGACGACTTCGATTTGATCTGAAATCCGTCTGGAGGAAGAGAGTTCCTGATGTGAAAAATGTGGAGATCGACGGATGAGTATCGATAAACCTCCACGCGCGCGTGAGAAAGCTCAAAACTTTATTCGTGTACATTATCGTAATTGCATACATCCCGTAATAGCATACTTCAATTTTTCTTTTTCTTTTTTTTCTTTTTTTTTTTTTTGTTAAAAAATATAAATTTCATTTAAATTAATAAATAACTCTTATTTTTTCACTTATTAAACTTTTAAAAACATTAATATCACGTTTAAACTTAGTAAAAAAAATATATAAAAAAAATATATTAATGTTTTGGTAGTAAATTATTAATATTTAATTTAAAAAATATCTGGAAAATACATTTTACTTTTAAAAATGTTTTAAAAAAATGCTATTAATTGATATTATACCTTTTGAGTATAAGTCCCCGTAGTTTTGCCTTTAATTTTGATAATATTTCTTAATTAGTCAACGTGGGACAACAAAAATGTTTAAAAAGACCAAGAATTTATACATATTAACTTAGTTTCCACTTAATTAGCTTAGTTCATTGTCCTCTTAATTAGCTTAGTTTCGGCTCCCTCCTATGCAATGTAGAACGCTTTCTAGGGGTTCTTCATCCTTTGAACGGTAAGTTGCACACGTTATCGAGGATTCCCAAATGGTGAGGATGGTATTATTGGGCATGTTCGGTCTCTTGGGCCTTAATGGATTGGTTGCTTCTCAATTTTATCGTGAATCTCTCAACAAAATTTAACAAATATAAGTATAGCTCAACAATAATTGACATGTTATCGATATATAAATTTAGTTGGGCCAGACCAAGGCCCAATAAGCCCACTGGGCTATGCAGAAATGATGGTGCACTGTGGGCTTTACATAGCGTGGAATGGGCCGGCTTTTGAATTGGACCAATCTTAGTTGGGCCATATTCAGGGCTATGAGGCCCATAACATAAATGGGCTGGTCGTGGAAGTGTCCATATCTTAAATTTACTTACTTTTCCCATTATTTCGGAAAGTAATTGCTCTTATTTTTCCTATAACATGAAGAGGGCCTTATCAAAACATAGGTCACTTATCTTTAAATAATAATAATAATAATAATAGCTGAAGAAAAAACCTTATTTTAAATTTGATTTGTTTACAAAAGAAACATTATGAGATAGAAGAAAGGAAAATAAACATAATCATTTAAATCACTATATATAATTAGGTAATAATTGCATAACATTATTGTGGAGAAAATGCCAACAAAACATCAAATTACCGATCACCCCTCACCTCTTTGTAACAGTTCAAATTCACCGTTAGCAGATATTGTCCTCCTCGAGAAATGCGTCTAAGGATGTGGGATCTCACAATCCACCCCTTTCGATGCCCAGCGTCCTCGTTGGTATATCGCTCGATGTCTAGCTCATATATCATTTGTAACCGTGTAAGTCCATCTCTAACAAATATTGTCCTCTTTAGGCTTTACTTTTCAGGCTTTCTCTTAGACTCGTCTGCTAGTGAAATGTTTCCACATCCGTATAAAGAATGCTTCGTTCTCCTCTCTAACCGATGTGAAATCTTATACCCTCTCTCTCTCTCTGCGAGATCCCATATGGGTTGGAGAACAGAACGAAGTACTTATAAGGGTGTGAAAACATTTTCTTAGTAGATGCATTTTAAAGCCGTAAGACTGCTACTGGTGGGCTTGAGCTATTACTTTCTCTTTTATATATATAATATTCTAGGTCACTCCCGGCTAGTTGACCTAAAAAATGTAGCGTTTTCTCTAAACTTTAGGTCACTCCCAACTAACAGACCATAAATCATGATAGATTTATTCTCTTTGTACGAGTAAAATCTTCTATGATTTTTTCTGATCCTACCGACAAAAGTGGTTCACACCCACAATACGAGCATCTAATTTTTAGGTTTCCCTCTCGTATACCACCACGATAAATTAATAAAACGAACTAAAATATGTACTTAGCTAAGCTTGTGGAACTATGAAGGGTGGGAAGTAGGTGGGATGTGATGGAGAGAATCTAAGTTAGAGATTTTTGTAGAAAAAGAGAATGAGAGATGGCAACCAAAGTTGGCATACAACATCAACACCTCCCTTGACAAAATACACAATACATCTTCTCAACCTCACTTTGTCTATACAACTCGACGACTTTCAGATTAGACTGCATAACCTAATATCATTATAGAACGTCTTCGAAAATTAAATTTTTTGGTCGATAATGCATGTGTAACAGCTCAAGCCTACTACTAATAAACATTGTCCGCTTTGATCCGTTACGTATCGCTGTCAGCCTCACAATTTATAAAACGCGCGTGGTAGAGAGACGTTTCTACACCCTTATAAAAAATGTTTCGTTCTCTCCTCCAACTGATGTGGGATCTCAGTTAAGTTACGCTCAAACAGTTTTTTTTTTTTTTTTTTTCGGGAAAAAAAAAGTACTAGCATTATGTAATGATGTTATAGCAAATTTAGAAACTAAAGACTAAGTTAACAAAACATCAATCATTTTCCACCAGAGAATGGTCGAGATTCACAAATGGCTCTCTATAGATTTTGGGTGTACCCAAATTGGGAACATAATACAACTTCCACTACTAGTGGATCTCAACTGTTCTTAACCGAGTTATTAAAAATTACTCGAGAATTTTGCTATAGTGAACCTAGCACTTTACACGGTATAAAAGAGATACAGAAACTATAACAGCCCAAGTCCACTGCTAACGGATATTGTTCTCTAAGCCTATTGCTAGTAGATATTGTCCTTAGTCTAAGCCCACCGCTAGCACGCCCTTATAAAAAATATTTTGTTCCCATCTCTCATCAATGCAGTATCTATCGGGCGGTTATTAGATATTGATAATATTTTTTTTTTATCACATCTAACAATTATTAAAAAAAAAATTATATCTTTAACGATCCATGAGTGCTTAAAGAGTATATTCTTTTATCTAATGGACGATTCCGTCATTTTTATTTTAGGAAAGAAATAAAAATATTATCATCATTGTGTGAAATTTTTATTTATTTATTTATTTATTTATTTATTTCAATTGAGATTCCCATTTTTAGTGCTAACCCAATAGAAATTTCCCCCCACTTTTGTAAAG